CCCCCCCCCCCCCATGGTCTGTACCTGGTAATTACTGGGGTTTTTAAAATTATTTTAACTTTTTTGCAGGCTGCATTACCATCCGTGATCACTTGGTGGCACATTTCTGTAACTATCACATAGCTATGCAGTTGAGATAATTTCATATCATGTGGGAATAGTAAGGAACCCAGGGAGAGGACTGTCCCTCTTCTCTGTTTTGGGATAAACCCCACTCACATGAAGGAAGTGGGCAAACCTCTCCCACAGAGGTTTCTCAGGGGGAGGCTCTATCTGAAGGCTGCAATGTATCACACTAGGAATTATTATCTGTGTGAAGCTGGAAACTTTGGCTGGTCCATAATACATGAGTATGAAATAATGTAAGAGTTTGAATATGCAGACAGTTAAGAGGCCATGTCTATGAAAGATGTTAGTCCTCAGTGTCATAGACTATTGCTTCCTGTTTACGCTTAACCCTGCAGCATCTGCTAGTGCTTTGCAGTATGTGATACACTTACACAATTAACTGCATCTCTTCTTAGGACTCATGCAAATGGATCCATTAAGAGAGGCAGCAAAGACAATGCTTCAGAAATTGTGCCTTTGCGCACAGGAATTGGAGTGCAGCTGAAGGACATCAAGGTCTTCAACAGAGCCAGGCAGAAGGGTAAGTGAAGAGGGACCAGTCTGCACACCAGGGGGTGGAAATAGAATTTGCTATCTGAGATAAATACTTCTCTCCACCTGTGGTTAGACTAGTCATGCTCATAGAAGTAGGTTGTAAATTAGTCTAATGCTAATAGATTCCACTCTTCCTGCATTCCTTCTCCAGGTACCAATGTTTGTGCTCAGAACAATGGTGGATGTCAACAATTATGTCTGTACCGAGGAGGAGGCCAGCGGACATGCGCATGTGCGCATGGCATGCTCGCTGAGGATAGTGTGAGTTGTCGCGACTACGATGGATACTTGCTCTACTCAGAACGAACCATTCTCAAGAGTATTCACTTGTCAGATGAGAATAACTTGAATGCACCCATTAAGCCTTTTGAAGATAGTGAGCACATGAAAAACGTCATTGCCTTGGCCTTTGACTATCGCCATGGCAGCAAGGGCAGCAACCGCATCTTCTATAGTGATATTCATTTTGGCAACATCCAGCAAATCAATGATGATGGAACCGGACGCAGAACCATAGTCGAGAGTGAGTACAATCAGCTCTCCTTATCCACAGATTTTTTTATCCATGGATTCAAGCATCGGTGGCTTGAAAATATTTTAAAATATAGAAATTGCAAAAAGTAAACCTTGATTTTGCCATTTTATATAAGTGATACTATTTTACTATACCACTGTATTTAATGGGACTTGAGCATCCACAGATTTTGGTATCCATGGGGGGTCCTGGAACCAAACCCCAGCAGATACCAAGGGCCCACTGTACTTTGGATGCCTTCTCTCCTGAGTCTTTCTTCTCAAGCTATTTGCTCTGGGCATTGTGTGAAAGAGAGCATCCTGATTTCACAGGCTCGGTTAGGTATAGTTTTCATCAGAGTTCTATCCACAAAATGCTGCACTTAGGGCCTGTGCAGACTGCTAGAAATAGTGCAAATTGAGTCCACTTTAACTGTCCTGGCTCAGTGCTAGGGAATCACGGCAATTGTATTTTTTTCTGAGACATTGAGCCTTCTCTGTCAGAGAACTCTGGTGCCACAATAAACTACAGTTCCCATGATTCCCTAGCACTGAGTCAGGGCAGTTAAAGTGGACTCAATTTGCACTATTTCTGCATCGAGTTTTAGTTGTTATAGCTCCTTTAGGATGAGATTGGTTTGACTACCAGGAGAGAGTCAGTGGTAACATTTCCTTACACAGCGAAGAGAATCTCCAATGCTTAAGATCTTAGGACAACAGTGGAAATGGCAACAGCTTGGAAAATTCACTTGTTTGGTTTGCAACTACCAGAATTTTTTGTTCAGCAGGTTTATTTGCTCTGGGATTCTGGTAGGTCTAGTCCAAAAATGCAGCTTTTCTAAGCTCTGGAAAGGACTTCAAAGCACTGTTGACGGCATGAAAAGAAGCACATGGTTCACTAGTATGTTTGGCTGTTTTTGTACCATTGATTTGGTAAAAATGGTAGAGGTAGAATGGTAGAAAAAAGGTGGAGGTGCCTCCTAAGGGAAGCAGAGGCAGTAGCAAAGGAGGAGTTGCCTTGTGTCCTCCGAGTGAATCGTGTTCATAGGAGGTGCAAGGACATTTCAGGTTGTTTCTGTTCCTGTTCAATCATACAGTGCCTAAAGACCTTTTCTCCAGCCACTGTGAGTTTTCTCCCTGTCATTTACAGACTATTCTTAAGGAGCTAATACAGACTAAACTCATATTTTTCTGTGGCATGGTAACTTTGTATGTATGATGTCCTTCACCACACTAGAAAATTGGGCACTGCTTGAAACAGCCTTCAACATGTTCTCCTTCAGGCATCTGCATGGTGCATGGCAGTTGGTTTGGGGATTTTCTGGAGAGCTGTATATTAAAGTCACTATTCAGTCCATTCTAGTCTTCCATCTTTCCCATCCTGCTTCCCCCCCCCCTTGCCTTTAGACTTATGTATGTAAATTAGAGTTACAGCAGTGAGTTTAATGAGATTTTAAACTGTTCTGTGCTCAGGGGCATTGCTTGCTTGTGTTCCTTTTGGATTGCTAATGCATGTGGCTGAGCTATGTTCCCCCTCCTCCCTAATTCTGGAGTGGTGTGAAAGGAGATTGGGCCCATACCTTGCACGCCTCATTCATTCTTGGAACTGCGACTTGGGGCATACTACCAGCAGGGCAGAGTCTTTCATTTGGAGAGAAGCAAATTAATTTCCTTCTCTTTATGAGCTTATGTGAGGAGGTTGAGTCACCCAAATGCAGGCATGCCCTGCTGGATAATGCCAGGTGGCTTCAGTTTATTACATTATGCTTCTTTGAGTAGTCAGGCAGTGGAAGAAAAGTTCTCATGCTTTCTTCTGGGGGTTGAGAATACTGATGGGGTTTTCTGCCCCAAAATAGGATAGGAAGTTTTGTGTCCTGTGCAAACTGCTTGCTATGGACTGACCTGGGCCATACTGCATGAGGGAATCTGGGAGTTGTAGCCTTAAAAGTAACTTCTCCAAGCTTTTGCTTTGGGGTATTGGCTTGGCTTGAATTGACTATGAACGATTTTGCCGTGGCATGTCATAAGCTTGGATGAAGAGATAATATGGAAAAAAACTCCATTCCCTCACAATGTTTAGAAGTCATTTGCAGCATCTGACCATGCCCAGAGAAACTCACAATATATATATTGAACTGTGACTGTGGCACCTGATTGACTCAGAAACCCAAAACCTCAGTGTAAAACAATAAGCTTTATTCAGAATCCAAAGCAGGTCACAGAATCCTTAGCGATGACTTTTGTACCAATATTACTCATATATTGTAATCCTCATCACTGAATGTAATGGCAATAGTTGTGAAATAAACAACTAGCAGAATTATTAGTTTTTTGTGAGGGGTGGGGTGGGCTATGTGGCCATGTTCTAAAAGAGTTTATTCCTGACATTCCACCAGCATCTGTGACTAGCATCTTCAGAGAATGCTGGCATGGAAGTGAGTGGGGTATATATACTGTGTGACCCTTGGTGGAGAGGAAGTGATTTACATGTTAATCTGTGTATTGTTCTGTTGGTGAATGACAATGCCTCAGGTGTCTATTTAATTAGTGATCCATTGTCTGCTAGGAAGACTCTGACCCTGGGTGTCATTCATTTGCATATGCTGGGTCTTGATTTTGGTGTTTTTCAGGACTGGTAGCAAACTTTATTTTGAGGATTTTTTCTTTCCTGTTGAAGTTGTCTAAGTGTCTGAGGATTTAAATGGCTTCCCTGTACTGACCTGATAGTTGTTGGCATGGTCCAGAATGTCAGTGTTTTCAAATAGCATTTTATGCCCAGGATGATTGATAACATGTTCTGCTACTGCTGATTTTTCTGGCTGGACCAGTCTGCAGTATCTCTCATGTTCCTTGATTCATGATTGAACACTGCGTTTGGTGGTCCCTATGTAGACTTGTCCACAGCTGCACTGTATCCAGTAAACTCCTGTGGCTGTAAGAGGGTCTCTCCTATCCTTTGCTAGTGCATCAATTGGATTTTCTTTGTTGGTTTGTAGATCATTTGGAGGTTGTGTCTCCTCACCAGTTTCCCTGTTCCACCTGAGATGGTAGAAATTGATCACAACACCTTTGGGATGCAAACCATGTGCCCTGCCATTGAGATGCAGTGACCAACATGTGTGTCGGTGAGGTCTGTCTTAGGCCAGGGCATGTGTGACTTGTTGAAACTGGACAGGAGTATTTGTACAGTACAGCAAAGTAATTGGTCATAGGATG